GAAGATGATAATTATTATGATTACGTAAAAATAAAAGTATTTTCCATAAAACTCTTGTATTTTGTTTTACAGAGTCATTTAAAAATTGTAAGAAGCAAAACTATACTTTGTAATTTTTTTTAAAAAAAAACATAAAAGTCGAAATCACTTGCGAACTTGTCATGCATGTATTTTGTTAACCTTCTATTACAGTTCAATTTTAATTTTAATTATTAGACAACTTATATTTATTTTTAAAATCTCTATGTGCGGGCCAACCATCTATCCCTTTTAGGATAAGTAAAGATGATAAAAACTATTTCTGGTTAATTTGTAATATGTCAAGAAAGAAATACATACTTAAAATCTTACTATATAAAGTTGGATGCGTCAAAGTTAGTAGTTTACAAGATCATGACACATGGCAAGTTAATCGAATAGATTTCGACATGCCTAGCGATAAAAAATAAATAAATATAATTTAGGAAATATCGCTATTGTTAAAAAAAAAAATATATATATATATATATATATATATAACCACTAATATCTAAACAAATATATATTTCAATTAAGAAAAGAAAACTTTTTTCAAAAGTAAAAACTAATCCTAAAAGAAAAAGGAAAAATATGGCAAGTTAATTGATTAGATTTTGACATTTGTCATGATAAAATTAAAAATAAATATAAAATTAGGAAATATCACTATTGTTAAAAAATATATAAGAAAATTTAATCACTAATATCTAAAAATATATATTTCAATTAAGAAAAGGAAACTTTTTCCAAAAAAATAAAAACTAATCCTAAAAGAAAAAAGAAAAATATTACTCACATCTTTATAAATATATAAAATCTCTTATAATTTTACAAGGCTGATTTTTCTCTTAGACTCGAATCAAACGAATAAGATGAAAAACTGATGAATCGATGAAAAACAATCAGAATTGCAGAAGCATAATAAAAGAGAAAGTCAATTTTTCTTTGAAATATGTAGCAAAATTTATATGTTAGTAATTCACACGATCGTGACACATATAAACTTTTTCTATTAATATTTTGATATGTGTCACGATTAAATTAAAATTAAAACATAAATTTAGGAAATATCATAGTTATTACAAAATAGAAAATAAAATATAACTACTATAATAAATAAAAAATAATTATATTAAAAACAATTATGTATTTCGACTAAAAAAGGAAAAACAGTTTAAAAAAAAGAAAAAACTAATCCTAAAAGAAAAAGGAAATTATTATTCACATTTTTATAAATACATAAAATTTTCTAGGCTGATTCTTCTCTTAAAATCGAATCAATTGGATAAGATGAAAAACTAATGAAGTGGTGAAAAATAATCAGAATTGCGGAAGCAAAATGGAGGAGAAAGCCAATTTTGTTCTTATACCATTTTACCAAATGAGATTCTAGATAAGAGTTTGTTATAGAAAAATTGTATTTGTGAAAAATATAAAAGTAAATACAGAATGAAAGACAAAGCGAGTTTCTTTAATCAGTGTTATTATAAGTAGTTTTGCGAAAATGTTCTCAATCTTATATTTTTATATTCACAGTGATCTAATTTTGTTTTATACTTTTTCATATTCATTTATATTTGTAAAAAATATAAAAGTAAACATAGAATGAAAGAGAAAGTCAATTACTTAAATTCGTTTTATTATAAGTGGTTTTACTAAAATATTTTCAGTTTTACTTTTTTTAATGTTCACAATGATCTTATTTTGTTTTTTACTTTTTCATGTTAATCGTATTTCTGACAAATATAAAAGTAAACATGGAACAAAAGAGAAAACCAGTTTCTTCAATCCTATTATAAGTACTTTTACGAAAATGTTCTCAATCTTAAATTTTAATGTTCACAATGATCTAATTTTGTTTATTACCTTTTTATATTCAGTTTCTTTTTAACGGATTATGTAATAGTTAATAAAAATCAGTGTATATATGGATCACTGTCTAAGTTAAGATAACTGAAATGTGAGTCAAATAATCAAAATTTACCACATGTAATAACACATTTCAACTAACAAAAAGTCGAATAAAAATACAGAATTAAATATAATTAAAGCCATTTATTTTTTGATTTAAATTTATTATTTACAAGTTTTAAAATAATTTTTAAAGTTGTGTGTATTCACAGGTTCTAATCTAGTGTATATATATATATATATATATATATTAGTAAAATTATATTGTATAAGGAGAAAATAAAAGATAGTATAGATAATATTCAAAAAAATATTATAAATTTTTAATTATTATTTAATATAATTTTTATATTTACAATTATATATTACTATAAACGTTAGAAAAAAAATAATAAAAAATCAGTTTTAAAAAGCACAAAACAATATGAAACGTTTTTTGATTGTTGTTAAATACTAAAATTGCATTTGTATACAAACATAATATTTGCAAAATGTATGAAAAAATTAATTAACACTTAAATATTATAACTAACAATAAAAAAATTCACACCCTCACATATTTTTTATTTTTATTTTATGAATATCTCATGTGAAGAGAAAGCATAACTTAGTTTTGACAGCATTGTTCTTTTAGATAAAAACATATTAAATAATATGGACTATCCAATTGTAGTTTTGAATATCATCAAAGTTTCTGAATTACCGAAACATTGCTTGAAATTAAAAGTTGATACTTCAGTCATATATTTATTTTAAAAGCAGAATATACAATGAAACTAAAATTATTATTTAGATTTATCAAGGTAGAATTGTAATGAGAAATGAGGAACTGATTGGTGAGGAAATGAGAAAAATTATTTCGAGTATCACATGCTATAGAGTTCTAACATGTGTACAAGCGGATAAGTTTAACTATTGAAACTGTAATTGCTTATCAAAAAAAAAATATATAATATGTACCTCGTATCAGGCAAACCCTAATTGAGTACAAAGATAATCTTAAACTGTGTCATATTTTTATTCTACCGATATATAGTTCAGCACATGAACATCGGGTCGAGGCGTCCATCACATGATAACGAATCACGGACGTATATAATATTATTCACCCGCTTCGTGTTTATTTTAAAAACGCGAGTCTTTTTTTTTCCTCTCACGTTTCGTTCATTCATTTAATAATGGGTTGACTGCTTGGAATCCCCTGTATAATACAGGTTCTGTCTAATCTCTCTAAATTCTTATGCTCCTTTCCCCCCCCACACTCTTACATTTAATTACAAATTTCCTCAAATTTATTTTCTCTGCCCAAGCCAAAATAGCGATTGAATCATGCAAATCACGTTTAATAAAATGTGATTGCCCAAAGTCTTGTTTAACCTATGCCCAACTATCCAAAAGCAAAACCCGACCCACGAAATCTTTTTTGGGACAAAATGTGTTCTTCATCTCGGAATGGCTGAAAATAGGAGATGAAGAAATCCATTATGTTTGATTGATACGAGATGAATTTCATTGATATCTGCAGGTGATGGAGTTTTCGCTTCTCCTCAATCCATCGGTTTAGGTGGAAAAATGCTGGAATATTCACCAAGCGCTAAGCAATTCTCTCCCGAAACAGCTACCGTATCGTCACCGCCACCACCATATCAAAAGAAACTTCTGGTTTCTATCGACCAACATCATGACTTTGGCAACTAAGTGTTTAGGTTTACTTCTTCTCTCCTTTTCAATCTGAATTTTATTGTATAGTGTTTTCGTTAGGTGTCTCTTTGAAACCCAGATGTGCATCCAACAAAGAGATATACAGTTGAAGAAGAAGAAGTTTAAATTTTTTACTTTTCAACTACTTTTTGCTTAATTTAATTGCTTCATATACACAACATATTGCTGTCGCAGCGGCAGCGTTCGGCGGCAGAAAAATACAAAGAATTCCAGACGCATTCAAAAACCAGCGATTGAAAAATGGGAGGATGCGGTGTTTTTTAAAGAGCCAGCGACAGAAATAAAGAGCCGTTAATTATGTCGTTTCCCAGAACACTGTCGCTGCGACTGCCAAAAGAACAGGGCAATATTCTTATAAGAAACTGTTTCCATTTCAAAGATCAACACAATCATATCATATATATTTATATGTGCCACACTACAACATAAGCAATTCTAAGAAAATGTTATTTAATACAAACCTGCACATGACTAGAATCGCACCATCTAGTACACGTAATTTACGTGACGTATAGCCCTCTCCACTTCAATGGTGAAGTCAACGTGACCAGGAGTATCAATGAAATGAACCTAACAATCCAAAAGCAAAATTGAATAGTATACGATGCTATTAAACCAAAAATCAACCCCAAGACCACGTGAATCTGAAACAAGAAATCAGCAACCACATAATCGCAAAAAGAATCTCTCTCTCTCTCTCTCTCTCTCTCTCTCTCTCTCTCTCTCTCTCTCTCTCTTGTAATCCTTTCAAGTGCAGTAAGTGGCAGCGGATTGAATTAAGACCTTTCTGTCGCTCTAAGTCCATGGAGTCCATTTTAGCGACGATGCTGTATTGCCTCTGACTTCGTGGATCTCATGGATGATGGATCCGACCGTTTCCCTCTTTCTCTTTCCATATATCTGGTCATTTCTCACATATCAATGAAACTCATTTCATCTTCTATTTTCGGCCATTCCAAGATGAAGAACACATTTTGTCTCAAAAAAGATTTCGGGTCGAGTTTTGCTTTTGGATAGTTGGGCATGGGTTAAAAAAAGACTATGGGCAATCACATTTTATTAAACGCGATTTGCATGATTCAATCGCTATTTTGGCTTCTCAATTTCATATGTGGAATTGGGCAGAGAAAATAAATTTGGGGAGATTTGTAATTAAATGTAAGAGTGTGGGAGGAAATCTAAAGAGCATAAGAATTTAGGGGGATTAGGCAGAACTTGTATTATACAGAGGGTTCCAAGCAGTCAACCCTTTAATAATTGATGTAAAACAAAAACAACTCCTGACTCGAAATTTTATTTCTATAAATACAGCTTATCAATTGCTTTATTACCAATCTAAGTACAATACCATGAACTCTTCTTGTTCCTTCCATCTCTTCATCTTCGCCGCCGTTATCTTTGTTTGTTGTTTAAATCCCACCGAAGCTGCCACGTGTCATCCTGATGATGAGGCGGGTCTTTTAGCTTTTAAATCGGGTATAACCGAAGACCCTTTGGGTATGTTGAGCTCCTGGAAGAAAGGTACTGATTGCTGCTCCAGCTGGTCCCATGTCATCTGTCAACTAAGCGACCGTGTCACCTTACTCTATTTGGATGGATAGTCGGATGATGATGGCAAAAGTTTTCTCTCCGGCACTCTCTCGCCGTCCTTGGTCAAACTCGAGCACTTGGAAGGGTTTTACTTACCAAATCTCAAGAACTCACCATATCTTTTTCCCAATTCCTTTTCCGGTTACCAAAGCTAAAGTTCATTAATATTGGGTACAACCGTTTCTCTGGTCCTCTTCCGGCCAACATCGGTGCGATGAGGCAGCTCGAAGTGTTCATTGTTGAGGGCAATCGGTTCACTGGTCCAATACCGAGTTTGATATCTAATTTGACTCGGTTAGCTAACCTTCAAATTGGGGGCAATCTCCTAACCGGAACTATCCCTTTAGAGTTTGGCAATCTCAAGTTGGTTGTTCTGAACGTCAGCGGCAACAATCTCTCTGGAACCATCCCAGATATTTTCCAATCCATGCCTGATCTCCGATCTCTCGTTCTCTCTCGCAACAGATTCTCTGGGGAACTTCCTCCGTCGATTGCATTACTCCCTCCAGTTCTAACGTTCCTTGAGTTGGGCCAGAACAATCTCTGGGGGACGTTTCCGAGCTATTTGTCGAGATTCAAAGAGCTCCAAGTATTGGATCTCTCCAAGAATCGGTTCTCAGGAGTCGTGCCGAATAATTCAGCCAAGCTGACTAAAATTGCTAATATTGATCTCTCAAAATCTTCTAACAGGTCTGCTAAACTATAAAGTTCTATTGTTGTATTCGTTAACATAGGAATGTGTATATATACACGTTACAAGATAAAAGTAAATCTAAAATACATGTTTATCATATTTGTATATATTTATCTCTAAAAATATCCTAATATATCTCTTGATACTCCCCCTCAAGCTGGAGCGTGTAAGTCATGGACGCCAAGCTTGCACAGTAAATGATGAAATGGTTGTCATCTGAGTGCCTTAGTCAGTATATCCGCCAGTTGTTGAGAGGTTGGAACATAGCAAGGTGAAAGAAAACCCGCCTTTACTGCATTAGAACAAGGTGACAATACAGCTCCACATGTTTGGTTCACTCATGGAAAACGGGATTGGACGCAATGTGAAGGGCTGCCTTGTTGTCACAATGGAATGGAATTGGTTTCATTCTAGTCACACATAATGTTTGCAACAATGGTGTGATCCATTTCAGTTCACTGTACGTATCAGACATCGCCCGATACTCCGGCTCTGCAGAAGAATGCAAGACAACCTTCTGTTTTCGTATTTTCCACGAGATCAGTGAATCGTCAAGCATAATAACATAACCAGTCAAAAAATTTCGTGTGAGAGGACATGCCGCCCAATCCGAGTCACAGTAAGCTGTTAAAGATAAGTCACTTGTCGCACTTAAGAAGACACCCTGACCCGGAGAACCCTTAATATAACGAACAACTCTGAGAGCAGCCTCCCAATGACATTGTCGCAGATGGTGCAAAAACTTCGCCATGATGTGTATAGCGTAGCTTAACTCTGGCCGAGTGATGACCAAGTAAACCAGTCGTCCAACAAGGCATCTATATTGGGCAGGATCAAAGTGTAGCTCCCATGTTGCAGTTGCCAAACCGTGATTCTGTTCAAGCGGAGTTTCTGCAAGCTTGGAACCAAGCAATCCACATTCCGATATGATGTCAAGCGCATATTTTTGCTGACATAAATAAATGCCTGATGAGCTCCGAGAAACTTCGAGACCAGGAAGTATTTTAAATGACCCAAGTCTTTCATATGAAAACACTCATGGAGATAAGTCTTGACGGAAGAAATCAACACTGAATCGTTCACTCCAGTGACCAAATCATCAACGTAAACCAGACAATATAAATCATCTTGCTTGTATGAAAACAGAGAGTAATCCGAAGCACTTTGACTGAAATCATAGTCGATAAGGGCTGTAGAAAGCTTAGCAAACCAGCAACGTGGAGCTTGCTTTAAACCATACAAAGATTTATGAAGACCACAGACCTGATTTGGATCAGACGACGTATAACCGGGAGGCATTTTCATGTATACCTCTTCCTCAAGATCACCATGGAGAAAAGCGTTATGCACATCTATCTGATGGAGTTCCCAGTTCTTTGCGGAAGCAACACCAAGAAATATGCGAAAAGTAGTCATTTTAATGACTGGAGCGAATGTTTCCTTGTAATTCAGTGCCTTCTTTATGTCGATTGTCAAGGATCACCAGCCGTGATTTGTATCTGCTAATGGAGCCGTCTGAATTGTATTTGATTCTGTAGACCCATTTGCAACCCAGAGCTCTCTTCCCTTTTGGCAATGTCGTGATTCTCCTGGTTTTTTGAATTTGTCCAAGGCACCGTATTTATCATCCACTGAGGCACACCAGACATCAATTTCCGAGGCTTGTTAAAAGTTTTGAGGTTCCACAACATCAGTAATAGAAGCCAGAAACGCCTGTTGAGTGGGAGAGAAACAGTGACTGGAAAAGTAGTTAGTTAAGGGATAAGTACACTTACTTGAAGACTTTGAATCAGTGGTGGGTTGTGAAGCGAGAATGGAGTCTTCAGTGTGCTGAGCAGAGTATGTGACAAAATTATTTAACCGAACAGAGGGTAGTTTAACACATTGTCCTCGACCAAGAGGATCCTCGGGTAAAACAGCGGCAAGGGTTTCATCAACAGCGGCGGGGGGTTCTGCAGGCTCGGGAGCTCTAGGTGGTGGAAGTAGGATAGGCTCCGAGCTTGGCAGCGCTCTCCCTGTCGGCAAAATAGTACTGGATGATGGATTATCGAACACAGCTGGATGTGGGTCTGAAAGTGTAACAGACGTCGGAGGTGTAGCAGATTCTACAGAGATTTGTGCAAATGGGAAAACATCTTCCTTGAAAAAAATATCCCGAGACACAAACTTATTATTAGTATCGAGATCAAGTACCAACCAGCCTTTCTTTCCGAATTCATACCCGAGAAGTAGACACCGGATGCTTCGTTCTTGGAACTTGTCTTTGTCGTGCGGTATTCGACGAGCAAAGCATAAGGATCCGAAGTTGCGCAAATTGTCATAGAGGGGAGCCCTGTTATAAAGCAACTCGTAGGGTGTCTTGCCCTGGAGAATGACCGAAGGAGTTCGATTTATGAGATATGTTGCTGCCAAGTTAGCCTCTTCCCAAAATTGCACCGGTAAAGATGCCTGAAACAATAATAATCTGGCCACGTTTAATATATGTCAATGTTTCCGTTCCACACGTCCGTTTTGTTGAGGTGTAGCCATGCAAGATGTTTGATGGATGATTCCGTTCTCTGGGAAATAGCTCCGAAGACAGGTGAACTCTGTTCCGTTATCGCTTCTAACAATTTTAACTTGTTTACCGAACTGGCATTGCACAAACGCAAAGAACCGTTTTAAAGTATTTGCAATGTCTGATTTTTCGAGAAGCAGAATCGCCCAAACGGCTCGTGAGTGGTCATCAACAATTGTAAGGAAATAACAAGATCCACAAGAAGCAGAGGTGCGATAAAGACCCCAAAGATCGGTGTGAATTAAAGTAAACGAATCATCAGCTTTATTTGAACTTTCCGAAAAACTGTCATGAGTTTGCTTTGCTCGTATGCAGGCTTCACAAAATGGATCTGTAACACCAGAAGTACTAGAAGAAAAACCAACACCAAAACCAGAAACACCGGGTAAAACGATAGAACTTTAGCAAAAGGGTGACCCAGCCACCAATGCCACAAATAAAGATTCTGTAACTTGACAACACTACCAGCGTGAACATCGACTGCTCCTTTGTATTGATAAACCCCATTACGCTCTTCACCCGCACCAATCAAAGTCTTCGAGACCATGTCCTGTATCACGCAAAACTTTTGTGTAAATAACACACAACTTGCAATATCTCTTAGTAATTGAGCAACAGAGATTAAAGTAATCGTCAAATTTGGTGCACAAAACACATTGTGCAACACAAATTTGCAGCCAAAATCCAAAGTGGCATGGCGAATAGCCCACGTCACACCTCTGTTAGGTAAACCAATGGGACACGGGTCAATTTTAACAACATCAGTTAAAAGATTGATATCACTAGTCATATGATGAGATGCCCCGGAATCAATAAGAACATCAAATCGACTATCCTTTGCAAGAACAATGAGCTTATCTCTCTTACCAGAAGATTTTGTTGAGTCAGTTGAAGTTTGAGTTTTCATGAATTAAGCCAAAATTCCATTGATCGGGAGTGAAATTCGAAATACCCGAAGGTGGAGCTGAAACAGAGGATGAAACTGAGGATTCTGCAACCTGCGTGTTATTTGCCCGAGAACTTGAGCCACGTCCTCTTCCACGGGATGAAGTCTCTGAACCTCTGCCACGTCTGCCTCCTCCCCGACCTTTTCCATTTTCTTGCCACCATTCTGGAAAACCATGGAGCTGAAAGCAGCTTGCTATTTCATGACCGGACTTTCCACAATGCGTGCACTTCATGTCTTTGTTGTTGAAACGTGTTGCAGAAGCCACTAGAGGAGTTGATGTCGCAGCGAAACCAACTGTGGAGGAGCGTTCATCACTTGAACGAGTTGCCTGCAGATGACGTTCCTCCTGAACGATCTGCGAATAAACTGAGTCGAGATTGAGATCCCCAACTCGGCTAAGTAGATTATAACGAGTTGTTCCAAAACGACTCCCATCGAGTCCCATGAAAAATTGATGAATCCGAATATTTTCACAAGACTTCTCATAACTCAACATTGCTTCACATGTACCTGTTTGGCAACAACACTGGAAACCAACGTCAAAATCAGCGAGATCATCCCAAAGTACCTTGAGACGACCAAAATAGTGTTCAACAGATTGTCCGTCTTGTTTGCAAACAACCAGATCGGATCAACTGATGATCACGGGTACCATCGCTTACAGAGAAACGTCTCTTTAAGCTATCCCACGTCAATTTGGTGTTCTTAACAAGAGACACCGATGAACGCAACCAAGGTTCAATGCTACTATAGATCCAACCAATAATCATGGAATTTACCATATCACATTGCTCCTTTCATCGGAGTTTTGAGATGGTCGGACAATAGAGCCATCAAGGAAACCTAGTTTCCGTTTGGTGCAAAGCGAGTTGATCATCAGCTTCGCCCATCTTTCGTAATTATCCCCGTTAAGGAGGATAGGAGTCTGCACTTGGCATATATGATCTGAAGAGTGCAGATAATAAGGGAAAACCATTGATTTTTCCTAAGGATCTAGGGGAAAACTCATGGCAAGAAATTTGAGGTAGAGGTCAAAGAAGAAGAAAAACGTTATAGAAGAAAAAACTTAGAATTGTTTAGATGGATCTTTGCTCTGATACAATGTTAAACTGTAAAGTTCTGTTGTTGTATTTATTAACGTAGGAATGTGTATATATACACGTTACAAGATAAAGGTAAATCTAAGATACATGTCTATCATATCTGTATATATTTATCTCTAAGAATATCTTAATATATTTACTGATAAGGTCCATTCCCTGTTTTGAGGGCGAAAGGCATCAAAACTCTGGATCTATCCTACAACCAGTTTTACTTGGAAACGATCCCAGAATGAGTGACGTCGTCCCCGATCATCTTCTCGTTGAAGCTCGCGAAATGCGGAATGAAGATGAGCTTAGACGGTTGGAAGCCAAAGCAAACAATCTACTACGATTACATCGATCTTTCGGAAAACGAGTTCTCAGGGAGTCCGGCAAGGTTCTTGAAGGAGGAACAACAACTCTGAGAGTTCCTGGCGCCGGGGAACAAACTCCGATTCGATATGGGGAAGCTGGAATTCTCGACGATGCTCCAAAATCTGGATTTGTCAAGGAACTTACTATTCGGGAAAGTGCCGTCGATAGTGGCCGGATTGCAGGCACTAAACTTGAGTCAAAACCATCTTTGCGGTAAACTTCCGGTGACAAAGTTCCTTGCAAGCGCGTTCGCCGGAAACAAATGTCTCTGCGGCTCTCCGCTTGCTCCTTGTAAACTTTAACAGCAACAAAACGAAAATTCGGTGCCGGCGCCGGTGGATGAGCGAGTTACTTTCAGTTTTTGTATCTTTCCTTTGCAATAGTTTGCTTTAACAAGGAGACGTTGTAGTGCTCCATAATAATGGTTCAACGTTGTTGTTTGTTTCCTTTATAATCAATCAAAACCAATGAATAAAAGTTTCTTTGATTGAGACCACGATTTGTATTACTGAAAATTGCATGCCATGCGGGGATGTAATGATTGGAAGTTCAAAGATATTTCAGATTTTTTTTCTTTTGTAACATAATTTTAATTTATATAAAATATTCAAAATTATATAGAACTTGCGAATACAATAAAAATACATGATTGTAAAAGAGATAATAAAACAATAAAACTAAACTTAGCGATACTCTTTTCAGAAAAGATTTTCTCCCTAGAAAATTCGCATTTTAATTAATACGATCTTCATCTTTGGTTATGCACATAACCATACTAAACATCCTTGTTTGTTGTGTAACATTGGCTAATTCCCGATTTAGATCTATAGATATTATTCGGTTAAGAATCCAATATAATGATTCTTCCGAAATAAATAAAAATTAGGATTGCGAACCTTCAGCGATTGTACGAATATGATCATACAACAAACCTGATGCATCTTCGATTTTTTCATGCAATCTGTTCTTCAATGATGATTTTCACGGCGGTCTCTATGGTGGTTGTTTCTAAAGTAGAGTCGTTAGATTTTTTCCAAATTCTAAAGCCATCCAAATATATGGTTTCAGAATTTAATTTGAAATTATTTTTGCATGATATTTTAATTTCTTAGTTAAGTTTAAAATTTCAGAATATTATAAAAAGTTTTAATCCAATTATTAATTTTTAAATTTTTTTAGTTTTTGATCAAATGATGATATCTATTATATTTCTATTATTCAATCTAATTATGTGATTCAAGAACCTAATTAAACCGAATAAAACCTTTTGAACTAAAGATTACGTTTTCTTCCAAACGATTCTTTCAATCGATCCTTGCCTATCTTCTTCCCATCTCTACGTTTCCTTGTATATAATTTCTAAATACTTGTTGACATGTTCCATCATCTTCAATGAGTAAATAACCACATCTCTCTCTTTGGTTTTTACTTTTCTGACCGCCCCCAAACCTCATCGATTATTGTTTTTAGATTTCTAAAAAACACAAGGCATCAAATAATCCAGTTTATGTATGTGACTTAAAAAGGAAAACCTAATTTTACAATTTTGGCAGAGGAATGCAGTTTTAACAATTTTGCTGGAAACATACTATTTACAATTTTACATAATGTCCTTTGAATGATCAGATCTCATATTTGAATTTGAGTGAGAGATCTAAAATGATTTGCATCCTCCTCTTGTGGAGAAACAAAAGAACTTAGCCCTTTTAAACCCAAAATTTAATTATAACTAACCTTTTTTAGTCCAACCACCAAAATTTAGGGTTTATGGCTTTAAATTCTCATACACATTGGAGTAACTTTGTGGGTTAACTCGTATTAGAATATCCCAATTGAATGTACTAGGTTTGATCAGCACATTGCGAGGAGTTATTTGTTAATCTATTTTCGTACTTTATGATTTTATATATTTATATTATTATTATGTTTATTTTTAATTTATTTATATTGTTTTATAGTTTTTTAATTTTTTTAATTAATTTTTTTTTATTATTTTTATCCTGAAATATATAGATATATTATGAAGTTATTAACATGTGCTAATTATTTAAAAACTTCATCCATATTTATATGCTGTCATAAGTATTTAAGTTTTCTACTACATATATTTCTATTCAACTGGTTTCTATCTTTTTTATATTGCTTATTTCCGGCGCGATCAACAATCTCAATGCTTTAAATTGAATAACTTCTTCATTTTTCATAAATTTTAGAAAATCTAACTCATTCTGAAGCACAAATAGTCATGCCTTTATTATTTTTTCGTATAAATCAAAGGGTTTGAATGGTATGCAGCTTTTTCACGTTTCACGTTTTGGAAACTTGATTCTGTTATTTTTTACCATTCATGTTATTCATCACGTTTTCACGTTTTCACGTTTTTTTATGTTTTTGAAACGTGATTCTGCTAGCATGTTAAAAATATAACTAAAAACAACAAAACATGATTAATCTACTAAAAGTAGCTTTTCAGCGTTTCACAATTATTCAGCTAAAATATTATTCAGTTCAGTTCATTCCGCTAGTAATTTTTCAGTTATTCTGCTATTCTGTTATTCATCTAACATACCAGTCAGACCCAAATTCATTTCATGTTATATGATTAAACACTTTAGTCTTCTTCATTCATATAAAACTTTCATTTATTTTCACAATAAAATAGATACGAATGATTTTACTTAACTTTTATTCATATATCTTTTCGTTTTTTTTTTAAATTTGATAACTCCGCAAGTTCTTCCGTCATCTTTCGTATTTGTTTGCATTCCAACTTCTTTTCAACATTCTCTTTGTTTATATTTGAAATAACATATTGATTTGTTTTTATTTCGTAGAGAATTTGTAGTTTTTATGATTTATAAAATAAGTATTTATTTTATATAAATAATTTTACTTTAATTTTATATATATATATATATATATCTTCTCAAGTTTTTTTTTTTAAGTTTGATAACTATCCTTCGCAAGTTCTTTGACATGTTTTGTATTTGCCTTCCAATTTTTTTTTTACAGTCTTTTGTCTTTTATTCTAAATAATATTTTTACTTTTTTATTTTTTTATGATTTGTAAAATAAATATTTTTTTCACTTTTAAATTTATTTTGTATGAATGCCTAAAAAATACAAACCTAAAATATATATAAGCTAGTAAAAAAAGATCACAATATGTAGAAGTCCATAAAGAAATCCAAAAAACCTGCATAAAAATAAACTTACATTAGTTAATATTATGTGAAAACCAAAAATACTTAAAAGTTCAAAAAATAAAAATAAATATACTGATGTGGACACTCTAGATGGAGACAAACTTCTCTAATTTTATATATGATTTCAATGGAATTCTCAAACTATAGTAAAATAATAAATATGTTATAATAATATATAAAATTTTAATTGTTACAATATAAAAAGGGAAAATTTAGTAGATGGCCTAAATTAATACTGAAATTGGAAAAATGGAGCTAATGATCAAAAATTAGGTTGATACATATTATACATAGAAATTATGACTATTTTTGCCCTTATAATTATTTGATTCGATTTGAATGGATAACAATTCGATTATCATGATAACTAATATGATATTGTGATAATTATGTTAACTATGCTAACTAATATGATGCTTGATTAGCAAATTGAAATAATAACACTTTAACACAATAGTTATCATGTTAATTGTGTTACTATGCTAATTAATATGATGCTCGATTAGCATATTGTACAAATATCGAGTTAACATGATAACTATTGTGTTAACATTGCTATTATTTCATGAAAAAATAGGAGTTAACTTTGTTAACTGTATAAGTTATGCAAAATCATCATGTTAACAATGTTAGCATACCAACAAATTATCATACTAACATTAGGAACATGCTAACTATTGTGATAATTATTGTGTTAACTATCGTGTCACCATCAGCACCACTTATATCCACCAACACCACCAGCCCCACCGACACTATCACCACCATCGCCATCGCCGACACCACCACCACCACCATCGCCATCACCGACACAATCACCACCACCACCGGCATCGCCATCACTTCCACCACCGGCGACTCCATCCCCACCACCAACACCACCTCATCATAGACCACCACCACCACCACCACTACCGCCGGCGACTGATAGGGCTCAGGTTTTACCCAAATAAAACTACTGCAAGTGCACAGCAAAAGCAGTTGTAGTACAAGGGGTATCAAATCCCAAGAGAGTAATGCAGGCTACACTATCGAATGTAGGTTCGGATTAAGCTAAGCAAGATATAATGTATGTAATGCGAATGAATAAATAAAAGTAAGCAAACGATTTTGTAAGATGATCTAAGTTTCAGAAGACTAAAAGTGCTAAGTCAGGACAATTCGCAGGTTGAATCCAAGAATGTAGAATGCAAGAAATCAGGAATGATTAAGAACCGTTTTAAACATGAATCACTGATGTATAACTAATCAATTCTCATTGCAGAAGTTATCTATGCCTAAATCACAGAGTTTCAAATCTCTTTGCAAACCCTAACAACCTAAGCATGCAGGAATGATCAGATTCAATTGTTTACAAAACTCCTAAGCCAAATCTCTTTGCACTAAGTTGTTTTGCTCATCAAATACTAGTTCAGGTTATGAATAATGCTCTCACATATATTTAACAACCTATGAATTTCAGATTTCTAGATGATGTATCTCAGAAATTTGATTTTAAAGCAAGCAGAGATGAAAAACCATAAGATATTCCTAACAGATAGCTATTCTACAATCTCTTCATCAACCCTTGAAAAGCCCTAACTTAACTAGCAGATTATTCAGACATGATTATGGAATCACAAAACATAACTGAATAAAATTGCATTAAGAGAAAGAGTAAAAGAATAAGGGGGTTCAGAATCTTCTCAAAAGAGTATATGATTTGTCTCCCCAAACAGCTCTGAATAAATCTCTCTCTAAGCTCTCTGAATTCTCAAAAACTAAGATAAAAATCAACAATGGCTTAAAAACCTAATAAATAGAGGCTAAACACGATCAGAGGTCTTCTTGTAAATAATGGAAACTTCTGGGCTAATTTTGCAAATATTGCTCCATCTTTTAATAAACAGTCACGACCTCCTTCCCTGGTGGGTGACGAGCGTCACCATACGGCATACATTCTTCTTCTAGCTTGGTGTTTCGTGGTTTCAACTCAGAATGCTCCAAATGGTTCCAATATCTCCAATTATGCTCCAGACATGCTATAACCTGCAAAGACTCTTCTATGACTCTAAAAAGACCAAAAAGACTCAATAAAAAGGACTTATATCATGGTTAAAAACCATAAAAACCATAATATATCAGCGACTCCATCATCACCATCGACCACCATCCCCATAGAGAAAAACACTACTATCACCAATAACTCTTACTATTGCCACCATCGATAACATTACCACCATAACCACCGTCACCACCGACATTGCCACCACCACCACCACCACCATCGGCATCACAATCATCACCATCATCACCGGTATCGTCATCACCTCCATTGTCACCGGTGTGCTATCACCGCTATCATCAATAATCCACAATCACTATTTATCTTCATCATTCGAATGATTCGTAAAGAAAAAAATAAGAAAGAGAAAATATATTAAAAAAAAAATAGAAATAGAAAATAAAGAAGCAACAGGTTACATAAGGGTAGAAAAATCTTTCGATAATGAACAGATATTTATAAAAACTATCAGAAACTGTCACTTAATTTCTTTGTTATTTGAATCCATTCCTTACAATTTCCCATATAAAAACACTATTAATAATTTATAATATTATGAGAACCTCATTAAAATACTCTGAATGGGGATTCTCTTACCATCCTCGATTTCAATGCATCAATTGATAAGATTAAACTTATCCCTTAAAGTTTAAATGCACACAACCTTAACTATCATTTACATTATAAATTTGCATTTTAATATTCACTCTTCGTAACTTTTTGCATTGTCTGCGTTTTCTTTTTATAATTTTTTTATTGGATATTGAGCTTCTAGGGAAACATTTTGCATCCATTTGTATTTCTTTTCACACATATCACATATTGTCCCATTCCGTTAACTAGGTAATTACCCGCGCTACGCTACAGGATATTATTTTAAATTTTATATATTTTTAATATAAAAATTATTTTTAAAGTATATATAAATATTATATTTAGCATAATTTTTGTATTTATGCCCTCTTTTTTTAATCTAAATGGTTCATTTGAATAAAAATGAGAATTTTGTTAGTTTTGTAACAAAATCGAAAAATATTCAGATATTTGATTTATCTAGATGAAAAAAAATTAGACCATTATGATAGAAATGTTTCAGTCAAAAAAAACAAATGACTAAAATATTTTTAAACTTAAAAAAACACCCCCCCCCCCCCCCCCCCCCCCCCCCCCCCTCCATTAAATTACATTTTTGGACAAAATCGACAAAATTATAAAATTACATTTGTTGACAAAACTATAAAATTATGTTTTTTTATACAAAACATGAAAAATCGTATTTTTTTCAAAACTGGTAAAATCATGTTTTCCCGTAAAATCGAGGCATCATGTTTTCCAACAAAACTAAGAAAATGCATTTTTCCATCAAAAACTGAAAAATTTTGTTTTCCCGCTAAAATTATCAAATTGCATTTTCCCATGAAATCCATAAAACTGCATTTTCGTGCCAAAAACAAAAAATTGTAATTTTCTACCAAAACCAAGAAATTGTATCTTCCCGTCAAAAATCAAAAAATCGCATTATCTTGCCAAAACTGAAATTGCATTTTCCCGTCCAAATCGAAAAATGTCATTTTCCTGACTTAGGAATTTCGTTTTCCTGCCAAAACCGAGAAATCGCGTTTTCTCGATAAAATCGTCAAATTACATTTTTTCGCCAAAACCATAAAATTATGTTTTCTACAAAAACCACATTATCAATCAAAAACTAAAAATTTGCATTTCTCATCAAAGTCAAGAAATCTCATTTTCCCGCCAAACCGAGAAGTTGTATTTTCCCGTCAAAACCGAGAAATTTTTTTTTCCTATCATAACCGAGAATTTTGTTTTCCTGTGAAAAACTGAAAATTATGTTTTTCCGTCTAAATCATCAAAATTGTATTTTCTCCTCAAAACTGTGAAATTGCATTCGCCTGTCAATACCGAGAAATTGCATGTTCGTGCCAAAACCGAGAAATTGCATTTTCTTGCCAAAACCGAAAAATCGCATTTTCCCGTTAAAAATCGAGAAATCGTGTTATTCCGCCAAAACCAAAAATTTGTATTTTTCCACCCAAACCAAGATATTTTATCATCCCGTCAAACCGATAAATTTCATTTCCTAGCCAAAACAGAGAAACTATATTTTCTCAACAAATCTTTCAAATTGCTTAATCCGCTAAAACCATGAACTTATATTTTCCACGAAAACCTAAAAACTCACATTATCCATCAAAAACCGAGAAATTTTATTTTCCCGCCAAAGCCGAAAATCACATCTTCACATCAAAATCGAGAAATTTTGTTTTTTCATCACAACTGATAAATTTCGTTTTCCGTCACTAAACCGAGAAATAAATGTTTTTCTGCCAAAATAGAGAAATCACATTTTTTCTTCAAAACCAAGAAAATTTTATTTTTTCGCCAAAACCGGAAAATTGTATTTTCTTGTCAAAATCAAGAAAGTTCGTTTTCCCATCAAAACTTAAGAAATTTCATTTTCCCGCAAACCCAAAAAATCATATTTTCTGTCAAAACCGAGAAATTTCATTTTCATATTAAATATAATTAAAAAACTATGAAGTAATATTATTTATTTGGGTTACTAACATTTTTATCTGTTTTCAATTATCTGTTTTTATGTTATATTTTTGTTTGTTACTTAGACACTTTTTATATCTATTATAATTAGGCATAGACCGAGAGAAAATGGGATATTGTTCTCGTATAATTCATTATCTCAATTATGATTATGTTATTTTTGGTTCAATTCAATGAATTGTAGACTCAAACTCATTTTTTTACCTTTTTGTGATTATATGCAAGACATAAAACTGTAAATACACATTAATGTAAGTTTCTCTTAACTAATCAAATCAAATTCAAATATATTGCTAACATATTAACATGCTCTCTTGGCTCAAATGAACCTAGATGACCTTAAATTTTGACTTATCATGCACCTTTTATTTCAGGATGCTATCTATCAAATCTTATATGAATCTAATATGTAGCTTTGATTAGGCAGAACAATACATCGTTAAATTGTTGCATCGGTTTGAAGCAAACTGAGTTTCTTCTCTGCAATCTCTCCTTCAACTTCTCGCCTTCCAACATAGTAACTTAATGATAAAATATTGTGAAATATGTTCGATGAAAAAAATATTAAAAATTCAAGATTGAAATCTAAATATCTTGAAAAATAGTCTTTCTCTATTTTTATAGAATATTTTAAGATTATACGACAAAAATATATATATATTATTTTCTGCAATTTAAAACTTTTAAAAGTATTTATTTGTTTTGGGCTTTTAAAGAATAGAATTTGTTTGGGTTTTAAATAGATTTAGTAAAAAAATAACAGATTTTAGCATATAAAATAATATGATGTGTATTATTGAAATGTTTTTGATTGGTTTTTAATTTTATTGACGTGTCATCTTAAGAAAATTTAAAATACTGAGGTATCATCTCCAGGAGAGACACAAGGATTATTGTTGTATTAATTCCTTTCCTAACGGTTTATCTTACTACAAAAGTAACAAGAATAAGAATACTTTTTCCTACTTGAATTTAAAATTTGAGTAACATGTGCCCACTTCAAATCGTGCTGTACACTATATTACCTATAACGGTCAATTTTTCAGTCCCACAAAAAAAACTAAATAGTCTTAAATAATGTCCAAAGAACCTTTGACATATGATAGTGGCCTATTTAAAAACAACATCGACTCTATTTTTGTCACGTTTTATTCTTTCATTTTAGTTACCATCTAATAATATACACCATACTAATCGCAACACGCAATTAAATTAGTCAAAATTGGTCAACTTAGACTAGTTGCCTATTAAATAGGTCTCAAGTCGAATCTCTCTCTTTCGATTATTAGCTATATCTATAGTTTAGTGCTTCTCTCAGCCTCGCTACAAAAAAAACACTACCATGAACTCATCTCTTCCATATCTCCTCATCTCTTCATCTTCACCGCCGTAATCTTTTTGTGGCATCTAAATCCCACCACAGCTGCCACATGTCACCCTGATGACGAAGTGGGTCTTTTAGCTTTTAAATCGGGTATAACCGAAGATCCTTCCGGCATTCTCAGCTCTTGGAAGAAAGGTACTTACTGCTGCTCTTGGGATGGTGTCAGTTGCCCTAACGGAAACCGTGTCGCCGTACTCACTGTCCGCATAGAGTCCAATGATGCCGGAAGCTTTCTCTCCGGCACTATCTCTCCATCCCTGGCCAAACTCCGGCATTTGGAAGGGATCGTCTTCATCAATCTCAAAAACATAACCGGACCATTTCCTCAGTTTCTTTTCCGATTACCACATCTAATGTACGTTTACCTTGAGAACAACCGTCTATCCGGTCCTCTTCGAGCCAACATCGGCACGCTAAGCCACTTAGATACGTTAACCATTAAAGGAAACCAGTTCAGCGGTCCGATCCGAAGTTCAATATCCAATTTAACTCGGTTAAACTACCTCAATCTCGGCGGTAATCTCCTAACCGGAACTATACCGTTAGGTATTGCTAATCTCAAGCTCATGTCGAATCTGAATCTCGACGGAAACCGTCTCTCTGGAACCATACCTGATATTTTCAAATCCATGACTATGCTTAGAATCCTCACACTCTCTCGCAATGGATTCTCGGGGAAACTTCCTCCTTCCATGGCATCGCTCGCACCTGTTCTAGCGTTCCTCGAGCTAGGCCAGAACAATCTCTCAGGGTCCATCCCGAGCTATTTATCAAGATTCAAGGCGCTCGACACACTGGATCTCTCCAAGAACCGGTTCTCCGGAGCTGTGCCTAAGAGTTTGCCCATGCTGACTAAAATTGCTAATATCGATCTCTCTCACAATCTTTTAACCGATCCATTCCCTGTTTTGAACGTGAAGAATGACATCTTGACTCTGGATCTATCGTACAACAAGTTTCACATGGGAACGATCCCGGAATGGGTGACCTCGGCGACGATCCTCAGCTCTTTGAAGCTGGCTAAATGCGGAATCAAGATGAGCATAGACCACTGGAAGACAAGGCAAACTGATCTCTACGTATCCATCGATCTTTCGGAAAACGAGATCTCAGGGAGTCCGGTGAGGTTCTTGAAGGAAGAAGGACAACTACGGGAGTTTCGGGTGTCGGGGAACAAACTCCGATTCGATTTGAGGAAGCTGACTTTCTCGAAGACGCTTGAGACGCTTCATCTGTCAAGAAACTTAGTATTCGGGAAAGTTCCGGCGAGGGTGGCTGGATTGAAGACACTAAACTTGAGTCAAAATCATCTTTGTGGAAAACTTCCGTCGATGAAGTTCCCTGCAAGCGTGTTTACCGGTAACGACTGTCTCTGCGGCTCTCCGCTGGGTCCTTGTAAAGTTTAATGGATTCATTCATTGTCATGATATATTATTCTTGAACATCATGTGTCAAAAGTTTCATATTACGCTTTTGTCTTTGCCTGTTTGTCATATTTTCTCTTTGCCTTATTTACTAACTTTATGTTGCAAAAAATCATATACTCTTTAAACATATTTTTTGGTATATCGCCCACATGTCAAATTAGAAGACAAGTCTCACAAAAATCACCAAAAATTATCAAACATCCTTGATGTTCACCAAATTAATTCAAATCTTTAGATAGATCCTACAAAAGTAGCATTTTGGATGTACGGTGAAACTTTGCACTTACGTTTTAATCTGCTTCAAATAAGATTTATATTAATCTTTCCTTTTTTTGTCATCGGGATAATATTAGAAAGCAGAGCAAGTTAAAATACAGGGAAGTAACACTCAAGAGGAGGACCAAACAAAAACCTACCGGCCCAACTAATAGAGGTAAGGAAAAAAACCTTAACCTGCAACTCAAGAGAACTACAACTTAGCCCATACTATTACAAAGAGGAGAAAACTCTCTCACTATCAAACTAACCACGTAACCATCGAGGACTCCCCAGAGCGACATACGATTGACTCCACCCCTCCAATGTCTATATACAGTAAAACTTTATAAATTAATATTACAATAAATTAATAAATTTCTTCAATTTTCTTTTGGATCTACTATAAATATAATACAAATTACAAATATAATACAAATTAATAAAATGAGAATAATTCTTTTTTAAACTTATATAGGTATATGATTCCGTTGGGATCGATTTTCTGAAAACCTATCTGGAAGCTGCATATCAGCTAAAGGATACATTTAACAAGGCTTTTAACGAACCTGTTCTAATAGGTTGCAGACATTTCAAGCTGTTGCAGGAGTCTGGCGTTAGGGCAGTTTACCCACTCTATAGGATGCAAGCTTACTTGGCGGGGTATGCGGAACCATTACCAATATATATAGAATTAGTATAAGATGAGCCCTCAGGTGATATAAGGTTGGAATCACTTCAATTTATGATCACAAGATGATCAAGAGAATTCCAAACTTATGATATGGAATGTGGGATGAAGTTGGAATGGAGGTGGAACTGAGGTTGACTAATTCGCTCAATCGTTGGATTGACTGATCCACTTAATCGGTGGGATGACTGACTCACTTAGCAGTTGGAACTGGTATTGTCTGAACACATAAACAATTCTATTCCAAGAATTAGCAGAAACAAATTAATCTAAAGACAATTATTTTGACAAAGAACACTATTTGAATAAAAAAAGAACAAACTTTTATATTTTCTTAGATAAAAATGTGTGATCTACAAATGAGACAACTAATGATCTTATATAGGTTCAGTACATGTTTTAGATAATAACTCTTAAGAGAGAATTATGTAAAAATCAAAAAAAGACTAAAGAGATTTTGACCCATTTGATGAGTGATGGTGCGAATTGGATTGAATCAAGGGATTGTTTATTGACTTTGTATCAGGATTGCTTGAGGGTATATGTGAGCTTCTTTGAGACGTTTTGTCTTCCTCAAGAATCATGCAAAAAATCTGAAGTCTTGGCTAGAAAGTGGATGTTGTGAGTTGAATGAAATCTGCTCCAAATATGGTAAGTTGGTCAATAGTGGGATCCGCCTGATCTTGTGGTTGCTGGTGAATGGAACGGTTCTAGCTGACTCTCCTGATTGGTTTATTATCTCTCCTGAATGGTTTGATGCCTCTCCTGGTCGCCAAAGTTTGGTTTACAAGTAATTAATTTCGTCAACTCCCATATAAGGCAAGTTGAGTCTCCTCCGGCTTAGAAGTTGAATAACTTTTAAACCGTAATAAATTTTGACATTAAACCAATTCGTCCCGGTCCTGTAATGAATCAGTATTCCATAACAAGTCGATTTGTAGTTTAACTCCTCCTGGCTCAGTGGAAAACCTCCAATAACCGCTCGCATTTCCACTTCAAGAAAGTTCCAGTACATCCGAGTTTAAACTTGAATAACTCTTTCATACGAACTCTGTTTGGACCAAGTCCAATTCTTCATGTGCCTCTGATGAGTTGAGAATACAAACAATTGTATTTGTTGTTTGGTTGATCCTGGGTTAGCCGTAATGATTTGATGAGTGATTGTATGTCTCCATTCAAGCTCATTGAAGATTTTCCAAATTGTTTCTTCAACAACTTTTCCATATGGAGTAATTTTTGGCTGATTCTTCTTCGTGGTGAACTCTAGATGAGTTGAGTATGCTCTCCAATATTTGGTTGAGTTGGAATGTCTGGTCTTCGCCTCCATTTGAGCTAGAAAAAGCTTGTATGTCTCTTTGGACCTCCTCAACTTCATGTTCTCCACTTCATGCTTCCTGATTCCTTGCTCCTTAGCTAATGATGACTTGATGTCCTCATCATACTCTCTCTCTTGAAAAGGTTTAAACCTCGAAACTATATTTCCTGCACCAAGAAAGAGCAAGTTAGTTTTAATTATATTTGAGAGTTTAGAGTCTTACCTTGATGTATATTTGGTTTAGTGAAGTGTGGAACGTCTGGTGGTTCTCCTTTGAGTAGGAAGGATATGATATATCCTATGTTATGGCCTGGTTGGTGGCTCTTCTGTTTTGTAGCCTTTACCCATTAAATAACCTCGGTCTTGTTCACCTTGGATGGTGATGCCTCTTTGTTCTGAGTTTGATTTAACAACATATTATTTTCTTGTGGAGCTTCTTTATATTTTATCTCCTTAGTACCTGAATTAATCTCTAATATTTGGATAAGAAACAAGTGCATTCTGGGTTTATTACAAAACTTTAAACTTGTTAAAGCTAATTTCTTTTGTTGTTATTTTAATCAAGGTATTGAGTTCTTACTTTCTCTCAATTCTAGTAAGTTCATTACTTTTGAATCTTCAGACATAATTTTAGTAAATTAATGACTTACCTGAGGAACACTCTTAGTGTTCTTGCTTCCCAAATATGTAATGTGATGCAATGTTTGGTCTGGGGGCTTCTCTTTGAGGCTGTCTCCTCTCTGAGCATTTTGGATATGGTCTATACCTGATAACTTTTTCAAGGACTAAAGCAAGTGCATCATATATTAGCTTAAAATTATAGAGATAGACCTTGGACTAGTTAAACTCACAGTGATCGTGTTAACTAGTTGTAGCATCAATTCCCCTTTATTTACTTGAACTCCATGGTTGATGTTTTATTCTAGTCTAGAGATGACTAAGGCTTTTCCAGGACTCTTACTATTTTTTTAGAGTCTTGAACTCCTAACTGATATGAATCAAGGGTACTTAGCTCATGGTTCTCATCTAGGCTTGCTGGTGGTGACATTGCATCTGATTGCTCTTCTTCTACTTTCTCATTCTCTATTGGACAAGTCAATTATAGAATCTGATCTCCTTCTAGCTTTTCATCTTTTCTGGTTTCCCTTTCTTCTTGTTTTACTCCTGGATAAAAACTCTTTGGCAAAGACAAGTGCATAAGTCTAGTATTGGAACTAAAAATTCAGAATGAGATAAAATTTCACTATTTTCTATTTTCTCTTTTAGTGAAGTTTCTTTCAACAATTTCTTAATGGAACAATTTGCAGCAAAGTGTCATCTCTTATGGCTCTTATAACATGTTGGCTCTTTAGAATTTACAAAGTTAGAAGACTTAACTTGGCTTGGTGGGTCTGGTGACTTTTCTATAGCCTTAGAGCTAGATGTTGTTGCCTTGGTTTATGGGTTCATCTTTGAAGCTCTGTTTCTGGCCTATTGCAAGGCTTATTGTTGGTGATTCTTCTCTTCTGGACGTGTGCTCCTTTAAACATGTTCCAGATCTCATTGACACATGCACGTGCATCATACTAGTGGTAGATAATTTAGATAACAATTCATCTAAAGAAAGACTTAGCTGAGCCTTTGCTTGAAAAATGGTTTGTTCTGGTTTTGTTGCTTACTTGCACAATGCTCTTTGGCTGAGAACATTCTTCTTCTCTATGGGTTGATACTTAACAAATTCTTCGTGCATTCGTGCCTTGAGGTCTCTCCAATCTACCAGTGGCTTCGTGTAGACAGTTGGAGTGTTTTCTTTTACCCACCATTCATAAGCTTTTTTTGTAAATTCTTGGATAGCTTGGGATAAATTATTTTCTTTGGGAATGTTGTTGGATTGTAGCAACTTCTTCATATTTCTTTCCCAACTTAGATACACATCAAGGTTCTTATTTGAACCTGGAAATATTAGAGAATTAGATATGTAACCACTCCTTTTGTTGACTTACTTTCTTAAACAGTCTGGTGGTTTAGGCTCAACATTGCTCCCTTGGGCCCGTCGAGCCTGCCTTTTTCGGTATGGCGGAGTCTCGGAACTCCATAGATCTCTGGAGGGAGTAAGTTTGTTGTGCCATCCATCATTCGGTTCTCTTCGGAATGATGGGGTCTTGACTTTCTCTGTCCCTTGCATGGTCTCATGGCGTTGTCGCCACTGGAGCACAAGCTGCTGCCGACCGAGCGCCGCGAGCGCGGCCTGGCTGACCGGTCCAGCGACCTTTAAATCGAGTTGATGTTGACCTGGCATCTACTCGCCGAGTCGCAATCTTTCGCCAACGGAAGGGAGCTGGGAGAGAAGGTGACTCGTCTAAGGACGGAGTTAGCTGATCGTCATCGTACCTGATCAATCAGGACTTTGAAATCCGTCTTCTACGCGACACTTTCGCGATGTTCAGAGGCTTTCTGCGAACGTGGAGACCAGTGTCATGCGTGTGGCCGTTCAGGTGCTGACGGATAGCCAGGCTAAGCTGAACCGACTCCGGTAGGAGTAGAACAAGGAGCGGCATCGAGATTGCCCTAGTTGGGCCAGAACCTTTCACATGCCCCATGAACCTGGTGGTAACCCCTTGAGTTCTGTGACCAGTCCTTCATGTCTGCGCCCCCTAGTCGTCGTGTTTTTAGATTACTTTTGGGCATCGCCCCTTTTAATATGCTGGTTGCACTTTCTTTTTTTGTAATGAACATCTC